TGCATATGTAAATATTTTTTAAAAGACATATAATGAGCAAAACCATTAAAATCTCAAATATCAAGTTACTAAATGAGTCCTGGAGGACATATGGAAGGGACAGAGATATCAAAGGGGAAGATAGCAATGAAACTATGAATAACAACGCCTCATATAATGAAGAGAATGTCATTTATCACCACTTGCTGTATTTGAATATATATACTCACTGTATATATTGTATATATAGTTTATATATAATAAACATATTATATGTACAAAAAATGAATGCTAAGGGGTGCAAATATTCTGTCCAAAATAGTATACAACAGAGTAAAAAATCTGCCATTTGAATGTATGTTCATAGAGAAATATTAAGACAGCAGATAATTAAAAAGCAAAAACAAAACAAACAAACAAAAAAAAAACTAAGAACATGTAATGACTTCATTTTTCTATTCTATTAAACAGCCTTTAATTGCTGTGTTGCACTGATGTTACTATTTTATTGCAAATACGCTTCTTGCTCCTCCTTCCTTCTCTACAGAAAGGAATTTTTCATGTTAAATAAAGGAAAGCTGACTTCCCACAAGTTGCCAAAGCTGCAGGACTTCAAGTATCTAAACATCCTTCCACAAACCTTTGAACACGTCACACACACTGGCTTTTCTCACAGCTGGGGAATTCTCAGACCTCCCTCCCTGGAACCAAAAGCACCCACTGCTCGCAAATCCCATTACACACAATTCCACCATAATTATGCTCTTGTCAAACTGCACTGGGGAGTCAGTGGCTTAGAAAAGGCATAGGAAGAGACAGCTGAGACAATGCAGAAACTGATATTGCCAAACGTGTACAAGGGTTCATTTATCTTGTCTGGTTGTTACAAGTACTTCTACATCATTACACTAAACAGGCCTCAAAGCATTGCGATTACTTTTCAGTAGTTCAATATAAAGCAGATTTCTGAGGAATTTGAGTTGCTTTTGGCTAAAGTATATTCAAATTCCTGTCCACAAAGCTTTAAAACACTTGTTTCTTTCCAGTTGTTATGGTTGTTTCCTATGGACTGACAATGTCTACAAACTGACACTGGTACAGGCCAGCAGTTCCCAATGAGTTCCAGGCCGTAATACTCTCTGAAATACCAAGTTATTCAGAAACTTCTCCATCAAAATGAAGATCCTATGCAATTCTACTGCTTAAAGTTTCCTCTTTCAAGTTGCTCCTTATGCAGTGCTTCTTCCCCCTTAAGAACCTAAAATCAGTAATTTGGAAGTTATTCTTTCAACTGTTAGAATGAATTCTGAGTTACAGTTGAGGAAGGATAAAGTATGAGGCTACCAGCCCAGACATGAACACCAAGTTGACAGAACTATTATCAAATTTCTCATTGCAGTCCTGTAAGCAAAATGAAGTAATCATTTATCTGAATATAGCACAAAGATAGTTCATAATGTCCCTTAAAAACCTCACAGTTTAACCTGGAAAGTTAAACACACATACACACGCTTCCATAAAAACTACTACATGTCTTCCTGAACTTCCTTTTGAGAAAGAAAAGACATAAACAATCCTGTCCATTTCTTAAACATTCCTACTGTATCACTCAAGATATAGTTTTCAGAACAGAGAACAGCTTAACTTTTCAGGAAGGATGAACTGCAAAGCCTCTTTCAGAAATATCAAAGGCTTACACTCTCCATTAATCTTTTTTATCACATGCAGTGATTAGAATGTACATAACTACCTTTCACATAATACACAATCCCCCCATAGTATTAATTGGACACGTGTTAATATTGCATCTTATAAGAGGTACCTCACCATAAAACAAGAAGGCATTTTGAAATTTCAACAAGGCCATTCATTCAATCTGATCTTATGCAAACTGATATTCCTGGCATATGACTACAATTATTAACATTTTACTCAGCAAAACAATAAGCCACATAATACAGTAAACGCATCTTGGTGTCAACAGTTTTACAGTCTAAGCCATCATAGGGCGATAGCTATGGGCCTTATGAAAGAAAAAAGAACTAAAACGCCAGAAGAATCCAGCCTGCTCTAACTGCCAGTATGTGAACGGAAATCAGGCAGTCAGAACTATTCATTTAGCTGGTACCTAAATGCACTGGACCTGCAGTGGCAGTATGTTGCATCACTACAAAACATGGCAATGTCTTTTGTGCTATATAATTAGTTCTTATGTTTAGAATTGTGTGAGTGCATGTTTATGTGCATACTCCTATCTACATCATAAGAAAACATAAGAAAACACATTCTAAAATAAAGGTATTTTGCAAATGCAGAAAGGACTGGAATATGACACAAGCAGCATTCCATTTTATTGGTGGCTTAAGTGAGATTGATATTAAAAGGTTTCATGTCAGTGTGGACAGTGCCCTAAACAAGAAAGATGCACACATAAAGAACTCAACTACTGTTCTTAAAGTACAAAATGAATAAATTACAAATTTAATAGAATTGAAGCACTTACAGAAAAGATCAGAACTATGGAGGACAAATAATATGTCCTGAAACCCATTATATAATATTTGGGAGTAAGCTCTCAATTTAGAGCACCATTTTTTTCTAGGAGCAGACTGAAATAAGATTATGTGAATACAAAATTTCAAATACTATATTTTCTATTTAGCCAAAGTATTATAAAACTAAGTGTCACAGTTATCTCACTTTTCTAAATAGATAATCAACTGAAGACCTACTAGCAATGGGGTGAATGGAATGCAGCAACAAGTAAGATTAGAAAGCACACAATAGTACTTCCGCTTTCCTTTTCAGGCCTGTAAATCTGACAACACACGCAAGTTCTCTGGTTATTTATTCTAATTCTCTCTTTGATTTACTACTTCCCTATTTTCTTGCTAAATAAAACCTGTTTCTAAGATGCCCCAGTCTTACAAATCATTTAGAAATATGTATGAAATGTTTAATTCAAGTAATTTAAAAGGTTAGTATCTGGAGAAGAACAAACATTTCCTGAAGTCAACATCATGTAAAAAGAGGCACTCTACCCAAACTCAGAACTTTCCAAAACTAATTGTAGGAAGTGCATTTAAACAAAATTCCACTTTTTAATACTGTGAAAGCCTTTGCCCTTTCATATTGCCCAAACCTGTTTGTTCACTTCATTACTGTCACCTTTAATACGCTTCCTTTCTGTTTTCCCTGAACTGTTCACAATAACTGTCATAACACATAACCATACGTGATACATTTCCTTAGTAATTTTTTTTAAAAAGCATACTTATTTTCAGTTTACAAAGTAAAACAGCTCTGCCTGAATTTTTTTTCTTGGCTTTTTGTTTGTTTGGTTTTTGTTTCAGTCCTACACATTCTTATCTCTAGGCTGTTTTCTGAAAAGCAAGATTTAGAAAGCTTTAATACTGTTGGAAGTTACGTTTAATTATTAAGGGAAAGTGTAGTCTCATAACTTCATCCAGTTTTCTCTTTTAATACGTGCAATGTCTGACCAGACACACTGGTTTTAAAACATTCTTAAGAAAAAAGGCACACATTCTTTCCTCCCTCATTCAAGAGTTATACTATCAGAGAAAACTTGTTACTCTAAGCCAGGTCTGTAACTACAAGCTAAAAAAAGGCAGTTATTGTTTTGGGATTTTTGTTATTACATTTTAATGTACCATATACTAAGCTTGCTTGATTTGACTGATTTTGTCTGTGGTATGTATCCACACTTAACTATACACTGACTATAGACATCTTTCTCAATTAACCTTTATTATTTATTATGCTGTATATATTTGTTTTTTAATCAGTGATTAATCTTAATAACATCATTTTCCCCTTATACGTTCTTGCTAGTATATTCTAACATGCAGTACAGAAATACAGTTTTGCCACAAAAAACATTCATTGTAAAGATGTAGAATATACCTATCACATATCTGTGGTGTAGATTTAATATCAGACAAGTGAAAATAAACTTGAATAACACGTGTTTATGTTCTGCTTACAATGTCTGACTTTGAGTATATTTCAGACCCCCTCCACATTTTATGTTACGTATTTATTTGAAAAATACTGGGGATAAAATCTGACAAGAAAAAAAAGAAACAGCAAAACACATTAAGATGTCAGGACCATTAAAGCAAACAGGCAAGTGTTATTGAGTTACAATAATTTGGTATGGATCATCTAGAAAAAAAAAAAGAATAAATTAAGTAATGAAATTATGCTGCTGTTTGGCAAAAGGTGGATGCAACAAAATTAAGTGTTGTTGTTGTTGTTGTTTTTAAATATATATTTGATTACAAAGACATGGCTAAAATGATTGTGACCAAAAAAAAAAAAAAAAAAGTGCTACCGAACCATTTAACAAGGGTTTCTCTTTCTGTCTTTCTGCTGTTTATCCTAGCAACTGTTTTAATAAGAAGTACTATTTCATATACAACCTATCCCCACCCATCTCTATCAAGTGCTTCTTAATTTGAACTTTGTTGACAGATAAAGTCGTGTTATCCTGTTTTCAAGTTTAGAGACAGGTGAACAAGAGGGGAGTAGGGGGGCATAAATTAGCTATAAATACACAAAATGTATTAAAAAAAAAAAAGCAAGAAAGAAAAAAAAAAGCCTTCCTTGTCATTCTAGCCTGAACAGCACAGAACCAGATAAGAACTTTTCCTTCTGAAGACTACATTTTTTTTTTTTTTTTCTCTTGGGAGAAGGGGAAAAAGGGAATTATCATCCAAAATAAAAAGAAAAACAAAGGAAAAAAGGGTAGTTTTGAAAAAGCAAATACTTTGTTTTGTTTTTGTTTTATTTTTTTTACTTTATATTTGTTATCTAACTCACTGTTTTAAACTTCAGATATGAAATGAACTTGAGTCACAAATTAGAACTATTAAACTGTCTCTTTCAGTCAGAGCGATTCATGCCTACGTCAAGTAAACACAAGCCCTGACACCAGGGAGAGAAATGCTCTATGCAGGCAAGTTAGCCTGACATCTTGTAATGACCTGCTCAGTGCTTACCAGGTATGTGCCACAGTGAAACGCCGCTGCTTTGGTATGTTGCTGTTCAAAAGCATCCTGCGTAAAAGCCTGGGAGAGTTTCGAGGAGAAATAACTGGAGATAAGCGAGGAGAAGCAGATGAAGATTTCTTAGATGCCCCAGACTTTTCATATTGCAAGAGGTTTTCCCTCAGGGTCTTCACAAGATCTTCATTTAACCACAGATTTTGACAATGTGAATTATCCACCTCAGGAACAGCCAGGGTGTCCGGGCTTGTCTGCTGAGCCATGCCTCCCAAGTAAGCTTGCTACTAAGGTCTGCTATAGCCCTATGATAGTTTGACTCCCTTCCAAGTCGCCTCCAAGGAACTACGCAGAGCTCCGGGCTCTTGCTCAGCCTATGCTGCTCTCAACATGGTGTTGCTGCCCTCAGCCTCTCTCTGCAGATTATGATCTACAAAGAAAAAAGCGAACTAACTCCTCCACAGAAACCTATTAAATATTACCACTCCTCTCACAGTCCTCTTGCCAAAGATCACTTATTAGCTATCATAGCGAGTGCACACAGCCTTTTGTCGGAGCTATAAAGCTGCCTGTTAAACTATTGGAACTAATGCGCTGCAGCTGCTTGAGTAGCTTCTCGTTATGTACATAAAAAGTGTTGGAGGAGGGCTTAAGCATCAGATGCGTGCTCATTTGTTTGGTTATTCTTTCCATTTATCTATTCCTGAACCTTCAGGGAGGTCTGGAAGGAGGGGGGAATATCCTCTTTTATGTTTTTGTTGTTGTTGTTGTTTTTCCCCATAATATACAGTATTTGTCATTCCCAATTACAAATGAAGATTACAAACTTTTATCTCAAGCTATTAAATACTAAAACAATGTAAAAGGGTTCCAGTACTGCCTTCTCTTCCTTATCCCCAACCCAACAACAGCAGTTTTATGGCAACAGCTTTTCAAATGCATTTAGGAAAGGCTAATGCTGCTTTACATTTTCTAGAAATACAAAACAGACATGACGTTAAAAGTTGTAAACAAACCAAAACCAGACTATGAGATACCAGTATTGGTGTAATGAGATGTTCTTAATTTAGTGTATCATCATCACTACTTGAACTACAAAAGTGTCTTTTTTACTGTTTGCTGTTGGTGAGGAAAATGTCTGATGTAATGAAGAGGGAGCCTCTGAAATATAAAAAGCAGAAGTACTTGCACTTATTTCATCAATGCTATTTGCTACTGCTATTAAATTCCATTTTTAAATATTTTAATTATACAAGAAGATATCATTGCAGCTTTTTTTTTTTTTTTTTTTAAAAAAAAAAATTTTTTTCCCACAAACCCTAAGGATTGG